AATGGCCTTGTAGGTGAGGATGAGGATCTTGAAATCAATCCTCTGGGGGATGGGGAGCCAGTGGAGGCGAGCGAGGGTGGGAGTGATGTGGTCCCGAAGCCTGGTGCGGGACAGTACACGAGCTGCAGAGTTCTGAATGACCTGCAGCTTGTGGAGGGAGGTGGCGGGAAGGCCGGCGAGGAGAGAGTTCCCATAGTCCAGCCTTGAGGTGACAAAGGCGTGAACCAGGGTTTCAGCAGCGTGAGGGGTGAGGTAGTGCCGTAGTCTGGCGATGTTCCGGAGGTGATGGAAGGCGGTGCCAGTTGTGGTGCGGATGTGAGGGAGAAAGGACAGCTCAGGGTCGAACAAAACGCCGAGGTTCCTGACTGGCTTTGAGAGGTGGAGAGTGCAGCCTTGGATGCTGATGGTGTCAGCGCCTGAGGTGCGGAGGCGCTGACGTGAGCCAATCAGGAGGGCCTCGGTTTTTCGCACGTTGAGCTGAAGAAAGTTGTCTCTCGTCCAGGACTCGATGTCGGACAGGCAGCTGTCAGGACATCGGTGGTCGTGGAGTTGAGAGTAGAGGAGGAAAGGTAGAGTTGGGTGTCATCCGCATACATGTGGAAGTTAACCCCATGTCTGCGGATGATGTCACCGAGGGGGAGCATATAGAGGGTGAAGAGGAGGGGACCGAGGACAGAGCCCTGAGGGACACCACATGAGACAGTGCGGGGGGTGGAGGAGAAGCCATTCGTCGAGACAAAGTGAAGACGGTGAGAAAGGTACGACCTAAACCATTCAAGGACAGTGCCTTGAAGGTTGAGGTGGGAGGACAAGCGGTGGAGTAGGATAGCGTGGTCGACCGTATCGAATGCTGCCGATAGGTCGAGGAGGACGAGGAGACAGAGGGAGCCCTGGTCACAGATGGTCAGGATATCATTGGTGACCTTGACCAGGGCAGTTTCTGTGCTATGGGCAGCACGGAAACCTGACTGAAGGGGTTCGAAAAGAGAATGGGTGGAAAGGAAAGAGCGCAGTTGGGAGGCGACAACTCTTTCCAAGACCTTGGAGAGAAAGGTGCATTCTTTTAAGGTTAAGTGGCTAAATAAGGTGTGGTTAAACCGGTACCCACCGAGATTCAAGATGTCTGCTGAGAGGGAATCTTCCCACTCAACTCCCATAAACCCCGCAAACCAAAGCCCAAACAGATAGGGTTGTCCTAGTTGAAAGCTTGCCAGACAATGTTCTTAATGGCAACCTATGCAGTTTTAGTTTGTTAAAGTCCAACCCACACTCTCGTGTCCCCAAGCCTTGGTTCTGTCCAATCTTTGCCTAATACTCTCCAGCATTATGTAAGCAAGGTGTGTCCCTCCAGGGAGAGAGTGTGTGTAGGTGGTAAATATAAAACTCTCTGGTTTGGATACCCTAGCATTGTGATTGGCTTCAGAATATGTCAGACACCCGACTGAACAAAAAAANCATTGTGTCAGCATGTCTCATCCTCAGCCAGGCATTATACAACAACCTACTCATGTCGTAAACCCCAGCATTATGAAGAGGTTACTCACTGCCTCACACCCTCAAACACCACAAATGCATGGATAGATTACACAGTATGTAACAGCTAGTCCTCCAGTCTACACACCATTTTACTTCTATTTCAAAATAATATCAATATTAATTGCTTAATTTATGATGTAAACAGAATGGTTATTGCTTGTTAGTTATCAAGTCAGCCCATTTATATTAGCCCCCCTAATATCATCTCTACCATAACCCGCTTGATTTAACCAACGTCTGTTTATGTATATATCACTGGGCAGCAGCAACCATGGAATCACAATGATCTCTCTCCTGTAAAAAATATTCTGCTAACTTCTCTCTGTTTTTTTGATGACAATCTTAAATTTATTCCCTCGAGTTACTAACTCACCAACCAATAGAAATACAGTGGAATCCACTTTTGCCAGACGCCAGTTAAACCCGGTCGTCAGGTAAATCAAATAAAACACCAGTCTCGATGTGTCCAGCTTAACCGGCTTCCATTGTCGTATATTCTCAATTACTTCATTAAAATTTACCCTGGAATTTTGAAACCTTCTATTTTAGTGAAAACACAGTCCCAATTTTTATCATCTCTGGTCACAAATTGTCTCTCAGGATCCTGGCACTATCCTAATGAATCACCTCTGTATCCCTCTCTAGGATCTTGACACCTTTCCGAAAGAGGGGTGCCAAAATTGGTCACAATACTCCATTTGAAGCTTAATGCTAACAAATAACCTGGACCTCTTCTATCCTTGCCCTATTTAAATATCTGAGATCTCAGAGTTTTATGGCTTCGTTAACTTGCACGCTTTGAAAGATTTGTGAATCTGAAACCCTAGGTCTCTCTGCTCTCCCACTTCTTTTACAGTTTCATAATTTAGTGGTCATTGTCACCGCCTGCCAACTCCGCCGCCCGGATACTAACCCGCACAAAACTCCGGATTCAGATCACGCCAACCCTTGCTAGGCTGCACTGACTCCCAATTTCCGAACGAATCGACTTCAAGATCCTTTCTCTTGTTTTCAAATTCCTTCATGCCCTCGCACCTCCCTATGTTAGAAGCGCTTTGGGACGTCCTCCTGACGTGAAAAGCGCTATATCAAATGCAAGGATTATTATTATTATTATTATTTCGTTCCTGACTTGCTCACTCCCCACTCCACAACCCGCTGTTTCCGCTCGGCTGGCGCAGGCCTTCTGTTCGTCCCTCACGCCCTCCGCTCCACTATCGGCAGCCGTGCTTTCAGCCACTACGCCCTGAAGCTCTGGAACTCTCTTCCCCAGTCCCTCTACCTTACCCATCTCTACCTACTTTCAAATCCCACCTAAAGACCTTCCTTTTCAATCGTGCTTATGGTCCCTCTCCCCCTGGCTTGGGGTCAGACTCCGCCACTGTTAAGTGCTCCATGACTGTAACCAGCGTGAAGGGCGCTATTTAAATGCAAATTATTGTTGTTGTCATTTCCTTTATTTTTGTATCACCTCACAACTTACTGCATTCAATTTAATCTGCTATCCCTTAGATCAATCCACTAACCCTTCTCTGAACTCCAGAAATTGCTTATAGTCCTGTTTGCAGTTAGCCACACTGCTTACTTTTGTCACATGCAAATTACATTTCCCCACAAGGATTATAATACATAGAATTTAATACAATGATACAGCACAGAAAAGGACCATTCGGCTTTTACAAACCGCTGTTTATAATTCACCCAAGTCTCCTAATCCCCTCTCCATTGCCGCTGAGGAATGTCATGGTGTAATACAGTCACACACCTTTCAGCTGATTCACATAAGGAAGTATCTGGTTGGAGCCAGTGACAAGTGCAGGAAAGGAAACTACGCTGCAAATTGACGTTTGGCTCCAATATCCAGTATTGTAGCTCATTCTAACATTGTCACTTATGGCTTTTGACAAGATGACGGCCCTAAAATTACTCCAAGACAGTTGATTATCAGGCCCTGTGCTATGTTTAATGCACTAACATTGCATAGTCTACACTTTGCCCAAGAATTCTGGTTTCCAAATCTCAGCTCATGTTATCACATGTGGAGAGGAACAAACATCAGCCACTGATTTATGTAAAAAATAAATAATCCATGCTTTTGATAATAGTACCTCATCATTCAATCACAAAGTCTCAAAGCACTTTACAGAAATATGCTGCAAAATGGAGTGACTGTGTATTTTGTGGCCAAAATTCATTTGTATACAACAATATCCCATAAACAGCCAATTTTATTTAGGAGATTCCCTTTTCTTTTCGAATAGCGCCATGGGATCTTTAACGTCAAGACTGAGATAGATAGATTTCTTATTGCAAAAGGGATTAAGGGATATGGGGATAAGGCAAGGTCAGGCTATTAGCTGGAGTTAGATTAGAAGATCAGCCATGATTGATTAGAAGATCAGCCGAATAGCCTACTCCTGCTCCTACATGTTATGTACACCTGAACAGGCAGACAGGACCTCAGCTTAACATATCATCCGAAGGACAGCACCTCTGGCAATGTAACCTCCCCCAGCCCCCATCCCTTCCCCCTCAGCACTCAGTCAGTTTACCACTATGTGATTTCAAGTTCTGATGTGGGGCTTACGCCCACAACCTTCTGACTCAGAGGCGATAGTGCTACCAACTGAGCGAGGCTGACACACATTCAGGGCAGCTGTGAAATCTAGGCATATGGTCTCCTGGTGGCTGATGCCATGGAGCACATGACAGTTAATGTTCTGCTCATCCTGGTCGATTGCTGAGAGCTGGACTGGCACTGGGTCCAATTCACATTTGCCATTATTCACAATAGCACCCGTGGGAAAAACACAAATTTTGAGACAAAAGCTACAAAAATAAGAAAATGTGCTCCCTGCGTGCTTGAGGAAACTGATTGAGACCAGTTGGAAACTCCTCTACATTTTCTACAGTTAATATGTTTCTGGTGTGAGAGCCAGCAAATAATCTGCTGTCAGAGAAAGAGAATGAAGTGTGCACTGCTCCACATGAGAATGTCCTGCCACCAGGGCTGGACTGGGTTTACTCAGCGTCTTCTATACCTAAACCTGGTAGGTATAGAATGCCAACACTGGATATCCAACAACAACTTGGATTTATATAGTACCCTTCACTCAGGGTAGCATCCCAGAACGATTTCAAATGGGAATGGTGCACTTAACAGGAATAAAGTCCTAATCCACAAACAATTAAAAAGAAAAACAATCTAATCTCCCACTGCTCTCATCAACATGGGCTCAACTGCCACAAATGTGGTAAAGGCTGGAATCAAACTGCCATAATCTCACAAACAAAGTTATTTAACTTAACATTTTCAGGGAAACTCCAACATTTATGGTTGATCTGAAGTAAAGGGTTCAGGATATACCCTAATCACAAATCAGAATAGAATTCAGAGTTGTGGTTCAACACATTGTTTGACAATATGGATATAAAACTGAATACTGCACGGACAATTGGTTTACCTTCTGCCCTTTTTCGTTCTTTTGGAATACAAAAACTGGTGCAGCAATGGCTGGTTTTTCTATGAAGAGAGGAAACAAGAACAGTAATCACTACACACATTGCCATCACAACTCTCGAGCAAGATGAAAGGTAGGACAGACACCAAATTTACTGAAAAGGGATCTCCTTTACTCTTTGTCCCCCTTTTATTCTTGCCCTCTCTCTTTTTGCAATTGTCTTCCCCCAATCTCTTTCTCTCTCTCCCCCAGTCTCTCTCTTTGTATCTTTCTCTCTCTGCCTCTCTCAATCACTCTCTCCTCCCCCATGTCTCTCTTTCTCTCTCTGCACCTTTCAGTCACTCTCCCTCTCTGTCCCCCTCAGTCACTCTCTCCCCACCCCCAGTCTGTCTCTCCCGTCCCCACCCCCAGTCTGTCTCTCCCACACCCCCAGTCTGTCTCTCCCACGCCCACCCCCAGTCTGTCTCTCCCGCCCCCCCCCGTCTGTCTCTCCCGCCCCCTCTCTGTCTCTCCCGCCCCCTCAGTCTGTCTATCTCCCGCCCCCTCAGTCTGTCTCTCCCGCCCCCCCCCCGTCTCTCTCCCGCCCCCTCAGTCTGTCTCTCCCGCCCCTCAGTCTGTCTCTCCCGCCCCCCCCCGTCTGTCTCTCCCGCCCCCTCAGTCTGTCTCTCCCGCCCCTTTAGTCTGTCTCTCCCGCCCTCCCAGTCTGTCTCTCCCGCCCCTCAGTCTGTCTCTCCCGCCCCCTTCAGTCTGTCTCTCCCGCCCCCTCAGTCTGTCTCTCCCGCCCCCCCTTGACAACAACAAGATTACATTTGTATAGCGCCTTTCATGTCAGGAGGACGTCCCAGTGACAGCATTTCAGACCGGAGCTGGGGTCGTGGGGGAGAAGGGAGGGGAGGGGCCGATGGCATGATCAAAGAGGAGGGTTTTGAGGCGGGACTTGAAGGAGGCAAAGGAGGGGAGTGACTGGGGATGGAATTCCAGAGGTTGGGACAGAGTGGCTGAAGGCACTCCCACCAATGGTGGGGCGGGTGGGGCGGGGGATGTGGAGCAGCCAGAGTTGGTGGGTTGGTAGGGGGTTAGGAGGTCACAGAGGTAGGGTGGGTGAGGCCATGGAGGGCTTTGTATGTGAGGACCAGGATCTTGAACTGGATCCTCATTCTCTCCCCCCCCACCCGCCCCAGTCTCTCTCCCCCCCCACCCGCCCCAGTCTCTCCCCCCACCCGCCCCAGTCTCTCCCCCCCACCCGCCCCAGTCTCTCTCCCCCCCCCCGCCCGCCCAGTCTCTCTCCCCCCCACCCGCCCAGTCTCTCTCCCCCCCCCGCCCGCCTCAGTCTCTCTCCCCCCCCGCCCGCCTCAGTCTCTCTCCCCCCCCACCCGCCCCAGTCTCTCTCCCCCCCGCCCGCCCCAGTCTCTCTCCCCCCCGCCTGCCCCAGTCTCTCTCCTCCCCCCCGCCTCAGTCTCTCTCCCCCCCCGCCCGCCTCAGTCTCTCTCCCCCACCGCCCGCCTCAGTCTCTCTCCCCCCACCGCCCGCCTCAGTCTCTCTCACCCACCGCCCGCCTCAGTCTCTCTCACCCACCGCCCGCCTCAGTCTCTCTCCCCCCCCGCCCGCCTCAGTCTCTCTCCCCCCCCGCCCGCCTCAGTCTCTCTCCCCCCCGCCCGCCTCAGTCTCTCTCCCCACCGCCCGCCTCAGTCTCTCTCCCCCACCGCCCGCCTCAGTCTCTCTCCCCCCGCCCGCCTCAGTCTCTCTCCCCCACCGCCCGCCTCAGTCTCTCTCCCCCCCCGCCCGCCTCAGTCTCTCTCCCCCACCGCCCGCCTCAGTCTCTCTCCCCCCCCGCCCGCCTCAGTCTCTCTCCCCCGCCCGCCTCAGTCTCTCTCCCCCCCGCCCGCCTTAGTCTCTCCCCCACCGCCCGCCTCAGTCTCTCTCTCCCCCGCCCGCCTCAGTCTCTCTCCCCCCGCCCACCCGCCCCAGTCTCTCTCCTCCCCCCCCGCCTTTGTCTCTCTCCCCCCCCGCCGCCTCAGTCTCTCTCCCCCGCCCGCCCCAGTCTCTCTCCTCCCCCCCGCCTCAGTCTCTCTCCCCCACCCACTGCCTCAGTCTCTCTCATGCCCCTCAGTCTCTCTCCACTCCCCTTAGTCTCTCTATCTCTGCCCCTCAGTCTCTACCCTTCCCCCTCTCTTCCCCCCTCTCAGTTTCAGGGATGCGTTTGCTCTTCCCATCAATCTCTCTCTCTCTCTCTCTAACCATCTCTATGAATATCTTCTTCCATCTCTTTTGCTTTCTATCAATCCCTCAGTCAGTCACTCTCTCTTCCCCCTGGCTCTGTCTCCCCCTGAAACCCGCCCGTGCTCTCTCCCTGACCCTTCCCTGCTCTCTCTCCCCCCGCCACCCCACCCCGCTCTCTCCCCGCCACTGCCCCGCATGCTCTCTCCCCCCGACCCCCACCACACTCTCTCCCCCCCGCCACCGCCCTTCTCTCTCCCCCCAATGCCCCCCTCTCCCCGCAACTCCCCCTCTCCCCGCAACTCCCTCCTCTCCCCCGCCACCCCCTTGTTTCTCCCTCCGCCACCCCCTTCTCTCTCCTCCCACCCTCTCTCCCCGCAACTCCGCCCTCTCTCTCCCCGCAACTCCCCCTTCTCTCTCCCCCCGCCACCCACTTCCCTCTCCTCCCCCTCTCTCTCCCTGCAACTCCCCCCCCTCTCTCCCCCCGCTACCCCCTTCGCTCTCCCCCGCCACCGCCTTCTCTCCCCCCCCGCCACCGCCTTTTTCACCCTCTCTGCCCCCGCTCTCCCCCCTTCCCCTCATTCTCTTCTTCACCCTCTCTGCCCCCACTCTCCCCCCTTCCCCTCAACCTCTCTGCCCCCCCTCTCCCCCATTCTTCATCCTCTCTCCCCTTCCGATCTTCTTCATCCTCTCTCCCCCCTCCCTCTTCCACTCACCCTCTTTCCCCTCTCCTTCGCCCTCTCTCCCACTCCCCTCTTCTTCACCATCTCTCCCCCTCCCCTTCGCCCTCTCTCCCACTCCTCCTCTTCTTCACCTTCTCTGCCCCTTCCCCTCACCGTCTTCTTCACCCTCCCTGCCCCCCGCTCTCCCCCATCCCTCACCCTCTCTCTCCCCACCCTCCCTCTCCCCACCCTCCCTCTTCTTCACCCTCCCTGCCCCCCACTCTCACCCCCTTCCTCTCACCCTCTCTATTCACCCCTCCCTTCCACTTCCCCCTTCTTCACCCTCCCTCTCTCCCCCACCCTCTCCCTTTCCCCCTTCTTCACCCTCCCCACCCCATCTCTCTTCCCCCCCCACCCTCTCTCTTCCCGCCTCACTCTTCCCCCCTCCCCACCCTCACTCTTCCCCAACCCACCCTCTCTCTCTTCCCCAACCGCCCTCTCTCTCTCCCCCCCCGCCCTCTCTCTCTCCCCCCCGCCCTCTCTCTCCCCCCGCCCTCTCTCTCTCCCCCCCGCCCTCTCCTCTCCCCCCGCCCCTCTCTCTCCCCCCCGCCCTCTCTCTCCCCCCCCGCTCTCTCTCCCCCCCGCCCGCTCTCTCTCCCCCCCGCCCGCTCTCTCTCCCCCCCGCCCCTCTCTCTCCCCCCCGCCCTCTCTCTCCCCCCCCCCGCTCTCTTTTTCTTGCTCCCTCCCACTACTCACTAAAGCTCAACTGTTTCTCTTTCTCCCCCATCCACCTTTCACTGTCTCAAGTCTCCCTCTCACTGCCCAAGGCCTCTCGCGGTGAATCCTGTTTATGTCTGTGTCTCTTTTAGTCTCTAAACCACTTGCAGGTCTTTACCTATTCCAGATCCCTCTATTTCAGTCACTCTCTATTCCTTTTGTTGCTCCAACGTCTCCCGAGTCTCTATCTGTCCCTCTCCCCGCCCGCCCTAGTCTGTCTTCTCTTGGACTCTCTCTCTCCTACCACCTTCTCCTCTGGAAGGGCCTCCTTCATTGCCCCTGTGTAGCCCAGCCCACGCTGAGGGGCTCAGGCCTTACTTCCCTGTGTGTGTGTGTGCTGGGGCCTGCCCTGCCCCGCTGGGTGCGATATGGGCGGCAGTGTGTGTCCCGCTGGGCCGGGGAGCGGCGCTGGATGCTGCAGCAGCGCAGTGCTGGAGGCGGTGATGGCTGGGGGCCGCCGCCCGGCCCCGTCGCCTACCTTCATTCGCCAGATCCGCCATTTTAGCATTCACTGGTACCCACAATGCTGCAGGAGCGGGCTGGCACGCATGCGCACTCCGCCTATTCCGGACTCGGGCCGTTGGTGAATGCGACGCATGCGCACACTGAGGGGCCGCGCTGCACATGCGCACACCGAGCCTGCCGACAAGAGGACATGTAGAGCAATGCGCGTGCGCAATACTGGAGGCGCCATAAAAGTGCGCCTCACACCCCTCACCCCCCACTCCACCCCCACACCCTCATCTCCACCCCCACCCTCACCCTCTCCCCCACCTCACGCCCACCATCACCTCCACTCCACCGCCACCCCACTCCTCCCCCCAACCCCCCCCACCACACCCCCACTCCAACCCACTCCACCCCACCGCCACCCAAACCCCACTCCATCCCCAACCTCACGCCCACTCCACTCCACCCCCACCCCACCCCACACCACCCCCACCCCCCCCCCCACTCCCCCCCACCCCACTCCACGCTCACCCCCCCCACCTCACCCCCACCTCACCCCCACCCCACCCCACCTCACCGCTACCCCCACCTCACCCCCACCCCACCCCCACCTCAACGCTACCCCACCTCACCGCCACCCCCACCCCACTCCACCCCCACTCCAACCCACCCCACCCTCACCCCCACTCCAACCCCATTCCACCCGCACCCCCACTCCACCCCCACCCTCACCCCCACTCCACCCCCACCACCACTCCACCCCCACCACCACTCCACCCTCACCCCACTCCACCCTCACCCCACTCCACCCCACCCTCACCCCACTCCACCCCACCCACCCCACTCCACCCTCACCCCCACTCGAACCCCACCCCACCCCACTCCACCCCACCACCCCACCCCACTCCACCCCCACCCTCACCCCACTCCACCCCACCACCACTCCACCCCCACCACCACTCCACCCCCACCACCACCCCAACCCCACTCCACCCCCACCCTCACCCCCACTCCAACCCCACCGACACCCCACCACCACCCTCACCCCCACTCCACCCCCACAGTCACCCCACCCCCACTCCACCGTCACCCCAACCCCACACCACCCCCGCCGCAGCCCCACCACCACCCCCACCCCACCCCCACTCCACGCTCACCCCCACCCCCACTCCACCGCCACCCCACCCCACTCCACCTCCACCCCCACTATCACCCCCACTACAACCCCACTGCCACCCCACCGTTACCCCCACTCCACACCCACCGCCACCCCACCCGTACCCCACCCTCACCCCCACTCCACCCCCACCGCCACACCAACCCCACAGCACTCCACCCTCACCCCCAGTCCACCTCCACCGACCCACCACCCTCACCCCCACTCCACCCCCACCGCCACTCCACCCCCACCGCCACTCCACCCCCACCGCCACCCCAACCCCACTCCACCCCCACCCTCACCCCCACTCCACCCCACCGACCCCCCACCCTCACACCCACTCCACCCCCACCGCCACCCCACCCCCACTCCACCACCACCGCCACCCCACCCCCACCCCCACTCCACCGCCACCCCAACTCCACTCCACCGCCACCCCACCCCCACCCTCACCCCCACTCCACCCCCACCGCCACTCCACCCCCACCGCCACCCCAACCCCACTCCAACCCCACCCTCACCCCCACTCCACCTCCAACCTCACACCACCCCACCCCCAGCCACACCCCACCCTCAACCCAACCGCACCCTCACCCCATCCTCACCCCAACCCCACCCCGAGCCATACCACACCCCCACCCTCATCCCAACCCCACCCTCAGCCCAACCACACCTCCAACCTCACACCATCCTCACCCTCACCCCACCTCCAACCTCACCCCACCCTCACCCCAAACCCACCCCACCCTCACCCCAAACCCACCCTCACCCCAACCCCACCCTCACCCCACCCTCACCCCAACCCCATCCTCAACCCAACCCCACCTCCACCCTCACCCCACCCTCACCCCAACCACAACCTCACCCCACCCTCACACCAGCTCCAACATCACCCCACTCCCTCCCTCACCCCAACTCCAGCCACACCCCACCCTCATCCCACCCCACCCTCACTCCACCCTCAGTCCAACCCCACCCCACCCTCAGCCCAACACCACCCTCAGCCCAACTCCAACCTCACCCCCCCAACTCCACCCCCAGCCACAACCCACCCTCACCCCAATCCCACCCTCAGCCCAACCTCAACCCCAGCCACACCACATCCCCACCCTCACCCCAACCCCACCCTCACCCCAACCCCACCCTCAGCCCAACCCCACCTCCACCCTCATCCCACCCTCAACCCAACCACAACCTCACCCCACCCTTACCCCACCTCCAACCTCACCCCACCCCCACTCTCACCCCAACACCACCCCCAGTCACAACCCACCCTCACCCCAACTCTACCCTCAGCCCAACCTCACCCCCAGCCACACCACATCCCTACCCTCACCCCACCCCCACCCTCAGCCCAACCCCACCCCCACCCTCACCCCACCTCCAACCTCACCCCACCCCCACTCTCACCCCAACCCCATCCCCAGCCACACCACACCCTCACTCCACCTCCACCCTCATCCCACCCCCACCCTCAGTCCAACCCCACCCCCAGTCACACACTCAACCCGAACATACCACCGCCTCACCCCATCCCAATAACACCCCTATCCCCACTCCCGCACCAACCACACCCCCACCCTCACCTCAACCACACTCCCACCATCACCCCCATCCCAACCACACCTCACCCCAACTACACCCCCACCCCAACCACATACCCACCCTCACCTCACCCGCTCGCCTCAGCCCCAATCCCACCCCTCGCCTCACCCCCACACTCACCCCTCACCTCACACCCACCCTCACCACTCACCTCACCCCTCGCCTCACCCCCACCCTCACTCCTCACCTCACCCCCACCCCTCACCTCAACCCTCACCCCAACCTAAACCCACGCCCACCCCTTGCCTCCACCCTCACCCCAACCACACCCCCACCCTCACCCCAACCACACCCCCACCCTTACCTCAACCCCACCCTCACCCTCACTCCAACCACACCTCCACCCTCACCCTCACCCCAACCACATCCCCATCCACACCACACCCCCACCCTCACCCCAGCCACACCCTCACCTCACCCCCACCCCCACCCCTCGCGCCCAGCCTGATCCCTTGCCACCACCCTCACCTCAACCCCTCGCCTCACGCCCACACTTGCCTCACCCCCACCCTCACCCCTCACCCTCAACCTCACCCCTACCCTCACCCCTCGCCTCACCCCCAACCTGATCCCTCATCTCACCCCCCACCCTCACCCCTCGCCTCACCCTTACCCCCACCCTCACCTCCTCTCTCACCCTCACCCCTTGCCTCACCCCCACCCCTTGCCTCATCCCCTCTCTCACCCCTCACTCGTACCCCCAGCCTCACTCCTTGCCTCACTCCCAGCGCGGTGTGTACCTCAGGCTCCTGGAGCTGAGGGTTGTCAGTGATACCTGCATGTCACATGACCACACCTCTCAAACAATATAGCTTGATGTGCAGTGACTGTGCTTTTGAGAGGAAGGGCAGGTTAGAAATAGGGTGGTAATGGCGGTAATTTTCCACCACCAACTACCTCCTCCGTGCCCCCCCTCAGGCCCCTCAATCTTCATATCAAATGCCAAGTGTGAGGAGGTCATGGACTTCTATTCATCTAAAATACTGAACATCCGCCAGGCAGCCTCATCCACCTGCCCCTCGTCACCCACCACCCTCACCTTCCTCATCATCTGCTCATACCACCTCCCCCCTTTCTACACTCTTTCCTCTCCATCTCTCCCTCCTCCCTCTCACCCACCTTCACCTCCATGAAACCCACCACCTGCTGCCTCAACCCCCTCCCCACCAACTTACTGGTCACACAGCTCCACCTCCTCTGCCCACTACTGGAGTCCTGTAGCTCAGTGGTTAGAGAACTCGTTTTGCAAGTGAGAGACCTGAGTTCAATCCCCGGGGGGTCAGGGCCAAACCTCGGGCAAGTTTCCTGACTCCACACAGAGCCTAATAATAATCCCTCCAAAACCAAAAACAATAATAAATTGGTCATTTTCATTTTCAATCTACGACTGTTTGTGGGACATTGCTGTGCGCAATTGGCTGCCGCGTTTGCCCACAAATATACAGTGAATTCACTTTACAGTGCGTTCTGTGAAGCGCTTTGGGACGTCCTCCCGACGTGAAAAGCGTTATATCAAATGCAAGGATTATTATTATTATTATTACTGGCTGACATTATTAACCAGTCCCTCTCTACCGGATCTGTCCCTGTCCCCCTCAAAACTGCTGTCATCAACCCATCTCCTGAAAAAACCCTCCCTAGATCCCTCAAACCCCAGCCATTACCGCCCTATTTCTAACCTGCACTTCCTCTCAAAAGTTCTAGAACGCGTTGTTGCAAACCAACTCCTCACACACCTCTCCCCCCACTCCCTCTTCGAGCCCCTCCAATCCGGTTTCCGCCCACAGTACAGAGACTGCGCTTGTGAAAGTCACAAACACCATCCTCTCTATCTGTGACCAGGGCTCCTCTGCCTCCTTGTCCTCCTGGACCTCTCAGTCGGTCACACCATCCTCCTCCACCGCCTTTCCTCCGTTATCCACCTCAGTGGGACCGCACTCGCCCGGTTCGAGTCCTATCTCACCAACCGCCAGCCATACATCTGCATAAACGGCTTCTCCTCCCGCTCTCACCCGGTTACCTGTGGATCCATCCTTGGCCCCCTCCTCTTTCTGATCTACATGCTCCCTCTTGGGGATGTCATCCGCAGACATGGGGTACATTTCCACATGTATGAGGATGACACCTAACTCTATTTTTCCACCTCTCTTTGCAACCCCCCAGTCCCCTGATGTTCTGCCTGTCAGACCTCAGGGGTTGGATGAGCGCAAACTTCCTTTAGCTGAACGTTGACAAGACGGAAGCCATACTCTTTGGCTCTCGTCAACGTCTAAAATCTCACGGCTCTCACCTCCTCCACCTATCCGACCTCCCCGTAAAACTCTCCGAACCCGTACGCAACCTAG